ATAAACTGTGGGAGATTAGATTATAAACCTGTATGATGAACCTCATTTTTACAGCAGCAAAATGAGGCTTGTGATCACAAAATGTATATTTTTGTCTTTGGCACTGGCATAAAAGACAACAATAAGTCACACCAAAACAAAATAATGCATCTTAACCAAATAAACCACAAAAACAGTTTTGTTACAAAATGACGAAACATTTTTAAATGAATTCAGCGACTCACATCAATAACATTTGATTCCACAAATCCGGGGATCCTCTCGTCTTTGCACACCACTCCGGCGTCCTCATCGTGAGTGCAGTCACTGTTGCCCCAGCCGCGAGACTTGCAGGAGTCGATGCTCCTCTCTCCCCCGTTACACTGCACGTTGTCCAGCCAGATTTTCCCTGGACAGGCAGGAGACTGTCAGTGAGACTGCAGCACACTCCCAGGCCTGTGGAAAGTAATCATTCCAGGCCTGGAAGTGACACTTGGTTGCTTGAAATGTTGGTGCTCTGGGCACTCGTGGCAGAAAGTTCTTCACAGTACAATATAACTAACAGAAAATGATATGAGTGGATTATCTAAAGGTCCTCTGTGTATATCCAAACCTGTCCTTTTTAACACCAAATAACCATATGACAGAGTGTATTAAGTAAGAATCTTGACATCAGGTGTTTGAGGTCACTCTTACCTTGGCCTTTGCCATATTTGGCGCTGTGGGTCCATCCTGTGGCTTCCACGAAGCCCAGTTGGCGACAGAGCACATTGGCGTTGGCTATCGCAAAGTCGTCATCACAGATGGTTCCCCACTCTCCCTTGTAAAAAAGCTCCACCCGACCCTCGTTGTGTTTCCTGGGGTATCCAGACAGTCTAACCCTTAGCCGTTCGGTCTGCGGGGATGGAGACGGTGTGGGGGTCCGCGTGGGGGTCCGAGTGGCTGTGTTTGATGGTGTGGTCTGGGCCAAACAACAAGGTAACAACAACCCAAACAGAAGGGAGACTGCTAGCTTTTCCCTGCGTCTTGACTTCTCCATTGTTACAACTGCAAATAAAAAAAAGGAAAAGAGTAAGTCGACAATAAAAAAATGTATGCAGACCGGTAAGTCTCCCCTTTCAGCTCTTAATGTCTAAACGCCCCCCCCCCCCTATTTAAAATGTATGTTTAACCTGGAGAAATCTGTTCAATTTTGGAAGACTTTTACGTACAGTTTTGATCATACCAGATGGGAAACAGCTGAAGTTCCCATCTAGTTGCCCTTCAAATGACCCTCCGGTTTGCCTAAATACCCTTTTGGGTCCCACTCTGGTCAGCCCTGGTGCCCCCTAAATGATACTCTGAAACGTTTATACAAATAGCTTTAGTTAAAACCGGGAGTGTTCTGAAAGAGGGGCTGAAAATACACTCAGTACATAGTAAAGTAAGATTGATGAAATGTGATTCAAACCATCTGGTTAGTGTTTACTTGACTCAGATATGGGGGAGAATAACAGGGAAAATTCTAAAATGCTTAGGCACAATCATGCTGACCACAAAAGTTACATGAATGTTTATATTATTGATATTAACAGCTGCCCTTTGACTGGAAGCTTTTCCTCTTTTAAGCAGCTTTTTTGTTCAGATTTATTCATGGTTGTCGTGCCAGTTTCAGGACATTTTTTTCCTGTTGGTTATTAGTCATCATATTTTCTGATACAACAAGCTACCTTTTTCCCACAAAATGTTCACCCTGCTCTCTTAAACCTTCCTGTAGGGCTCTGTTTGTGAATGCTAACATAAGACTGCTATTGATACCCTGACAGCTACACTTCTTCTTAGCGTATAGCGAGTAGGGAGTTGTTCCTTCAGAGACACACATACAGTAGTGTGATGTGTTTGTACAGAAACCACAAACTTAAGGTGCCCTTTCCAAAACATGTCTGAGACTGACTGCGCAGTCTGAGTCCAATTTCACAGAGTATGGATGGACACACGCGTTCACGCTAAGCTTTAGTCTGCAGGGGCTTTTAAGGCTGAGCCACAATGTCTGAACTGAAGCCATGTTTGTCGTGCCACATTTGGGGGAGGAAATATTCTGTATTTTAAAAGCTAGGGTTGGTAATCCTTGAAATATATGAAGAGTAGGGTAGATTTTGAAATATAAAACCCCAGCCGAGTTTGGCCAACCCTTTCCCAATGAAAGAAGGTAGCAGTACTAGCTCAATTAGTTGCTATATTAGACAAAAAGGTGGTCAAGTTTGCAATACTGACAGTCTGTCTTCTGAGCCACCCCACCAAACAATCATAATGAATATAAACACCAATTATTTCATGTTTTCATTTAAAACATTTCATTATTGCTTTTGTAGCCTTTGTTACATGAAACCTCCATGACATTAGGCCACCAAGTATCTGATTGTATTGTGCTTATGCATTAGTCAAACCAACTCTCTCACTCAAACACCCACACACACACTCTGAAGCAGGGACTCTCCATACCAATGAGCTCATGGATCAGGTTTTGTGAAAGTCTCAAATGAACAAGCAGCAGCAGCAGTTCTCCAGCATAACATACAGAAAACTTTGGTCATCACAAAGTCTTTTAATGAGACACTGAATGCACACATTCCCACCAAAACAAACATACAACTTTTGTCAAACTACGACTAAAGGCTCCCTTGATGCAAAGAAAATATTTAACTGCCTTGTCACAGCATGTATTTGACCTCATAGGAACTTTGTGGAACTTTATATGAAAAAGCAGATATGTGCATGATCCACATTAACAGGAATACAATGGATGATGTAAGAACCTGAATTATAGATAAGGGATAAGACACTATAAAGAAGGGGAAAAAATCGAAATGGAAACACGTGGTGGTCAAACATTTCCTAGAAAGAGAAACTGCAATGCTTTGTTGGCTTTTCTGATCCACTTCACTGTTTTGTCCACATCCAAATCTCCAACTGTAACATTGGGATGTAAACACAAACATTAAACAATACCACCATAATAATAGGGTAATCTTTTCCGATTGTTAAAGAATCAGAAAAACCCAACCACTGCACCCTTTCACTACTTATTTTCTGGAAAACAGATGCTACAGAGCATCCAGGCCAAAACCCATATATTGTGAGTGTGAGGAGTTCATTTTCGATTCTAACTAAACATATTTACCCCTAATGATACATGATTATTACAAAGTTCTACCAACACATTTGAGTACACCAAACAAGACATCTAGCAGCAGGGATTTCTGTGAAAACACTTCAGACTATTTTTCCAAGTCAATATTTGGCTTGAGAACACATTTTGTTTCCTGTTGCAACATTCCTCACATTTTTCTTCAATATTCAGCTTCCTAAAAGGGAAGGTCTGTTTTACTAATATACATACTATAAATGGGGTTTTAAAGCACTTTGATGCCTAACAGAGTTATCAAAGTAGTACATACTTTAAATACAATATATCAGGTAGAAGTTAGTTAATACCCAGATAGTGTATGTAGGCTACCTTGTTCTTTTCAACTATAGAAACACAGCATGATAACTTTGTAAAAAATGTTCATTTAGCAGGAAAATCACTATTCTCTTCATTTCAAACTACAACAACAAGTATAGCCTTACCTTACGTTCCCAGTATGAGGAGGTTATAACGGTTCCAGTGGAAAAGGAGGGGGAGCTTGGTCTTAAATCTTTCTGATTCAGAAGTTCCTCAAGGACGAAAGGTGAATAAATGTCCCAGAACTTGAGCTAATTCATCTCCTCCACCAAACAAGGGTCCAATTTGCGGGGCAGTGGTCCACCAAGCAGCCAATTACTCCTTCCAGCGTTAGTTACTGTCTGTAAATTGCCAGCTGTGCAGCCCTCACCGAGGAAGAGGAGGAGGAAGAGGCTGCGAGACCGAAGTGGGCTGGATTTATTCCCTGGAAAGACACTAACTCTTTCATGAATGGTTCTGTAACAGGCGGGCGGTCGTCTCTTGCATAAAAAGACGTGCATTTCACTTATGTCACACGCAGGCTACACTGAAAAAAAGGGGAAAGTGGGATTGTTCAATTTGCAAATATGCAGTTAATATATGAGACAGAATTTATTCATGTTTCTCATCGAAACATCAATCAATCATGTATAACTATTTTAATCTTGAGGGGTGTACGACTGTACGTTCTATAAGTCTCAATCATGTTAAGAAATAAGAAAAAAGTTATGTTTATCTCTGTAACTCCGCCCACTGAGCACATACGTCAGCAGCTTGCTCTGCAGCCGATTACTCAGCTTCTAATTATTATTGGCAAATATTTTATTCACAAATCAAAATGGTCGGACTCAAAACCCTACTTTTACTAGTTTCGAAATTGAACTTGAACAATATGGCACTTTTCTTTTTTAAACAAAGGGGGGGGGGTCCATTTTCTTCCCGCATTGGAGGAGCTGGTTCTGTTCCGAGGAGATCTCTACAAGGTCAAATTTATTAAAAGTTATTTAATGTCATCAAATGTTCGTCATAGTTACAGGTTATCACAAGACGCATTGTTTGCAAAAAGCTGAGTTCACATTTGCCGTTACAACGAGCAACGTAAATACAGTTGTCAATTTGTAAACATTGTCATTCACTGGTGTTAGCTAGGATAAAGCCATGAAAATCATAAGGTGAGTTTATATTGATTGACTTGTGTTTAGCGTGTTTTTATAGTGTGAGTATTTGTAGAGCTCAAGTCCGGCAGTTGCTTGCTTTTGTGGTGGAACATTACGGGCAGTGGCGGCTGGTGGAAAATATTTTAGGTGGGACTGTGGAAATGATGACCAAACATTACTAGGGGGTTCCGGGGGGATGCTCCCCCGGTAACATTTTTTGAGAAAAGACCCCCTAAAGTATGACTTCTGGTGATGGGGGGGGGGGGGAGGACAATTTGAGGCTTAAAAATATGAGAAGACTGATCAATACCTCCACACAGCAAATTCGCCAGTGTGAAAATCCTGGTGTTAGAGCTTTTCGGGGTAAAGTGTTGTGGTTTTGGTGTTACATTTAACATGATTAACACCGCCTGTTGTTAAAACACTATATAGTACAGGGTTGGATCATGGTGTTAAACATATTTAACGACGGATAGTGTGTTCTCTCAATCCGGGTACTTTTACGTGATGTGCGTGAAATTATTTAGATCTCCGCCATCTTTTTTATGCAACCATCAGTCTTGAGAGACCGCAGTCCGTGACGGTAAGTTATCGCTAAGTTTCATAATTTGTTCCCCAGATAGCATACATTGATTTTGCTTGAAAATACAGTTGTGTGTGTGGTAGGTAGCGTAATTGTAAATGTATTGTTTTTATTACTAGCTTGCTAATTACTACTATTTGACTGTCATGACCAGGTGCAGGTGCACAGACCATACAGTCAATGCTTGCTTGCTAAACTAACTGTCGAATTAGATATGTATGTCGAATTAACGTTAGATATGTAACAGAAAATGTACTCATTATGAAGACCAATATATTGCACATGTCTATCGTTAGTTCGACAGCGAGCTAACAAGCTCTAGTGTTCGTAAAAAAGTTGTTCGATAATTGCCGCCTTTTCCTTTTCTAGCATGTTCTCCGTCAAGTCTCCGTCTAACGGAAGCAGTCCGTCTTGCAGCAAGTGTGATCGCTTGGCCTCGCCCTCGACAGACTGCAGTCAGTGAGTGACGGTAAGTTACCTAGATAACGTTACATTTAATTTGTTCCCCTGTTATCTAACATTACATAATTTGAAAATAACGTTACAGTTGTGTAGTTGCTAATAATGTTTACTAGCTTGCTAAGAATATTTGTCTGTACTGGCCGTGCACCTGCTTGCTAAACGTTAGCTAGCTGGCTAGTTAGCTAGCCGGTTAGTTAGTTAGTTGGCTAGCTGGCTAGCTGTCGAATTAGACACGGATGTCAAATTAGATAACATTAGCTATGTTACATACTATTATGTCATTACAAACACCAACGTATTGCACATGTCTAACGATAGTTCGACAGCTAGCTAGCTAAGAGGTTCTGGTGTCGGTCCTTATTGGTATAGTTAGCCGACTTCGCGAACAACCTTTTTTTTTCCTATTTCCTTTCACTAGCACTATCTCAGTGTCACCTAAGCAGCCATCAGTCCCCGCAGGTTTCGACCGTGTGGTCTCGACAGACCGCGTGACTGTAAGTTATCTACGTTTCATTGAATTTGTTCCCCAAGTGAAATAATTTATGTGTATGTACAGTAATAAAGTTGTTGGCTAATTGGCTCCTTTTCCTTTCTAGCACGTGTTCTTCTGCTCCGTGCGGAAGCAGCCATCTTGTGTGGCCTCGACAACGACTGCATGCAGTGAGTTTTTCTTGTCACACAGAACGATTTTTTTCTCTCTTGGAAGACCAGAAGCTGTGTGGTTCATAAACACATTTTCTTACTCAATATCTTACCCTTAGCCTAACCCTTTTATTTTAAATAGTATAATGTCGGAGAAAAAGAAATGGCTCAGAATACTGAAATCTGTATTTGTTGTCATCTTTTTTTCCTTCTAATTTGTTATTATTTGGTGCAGGCACGAAACATACTACCAATAGAAATACATTGCTTCTAAAATCGTTCTGTGTCAGAATACTGAAATCTGTATTATATTTTTTTTAAATCTCTTTTTCCTTCTAATTTGTTATTATTTACATTGCTTTTAAAATCGTTCTGTGTGACACGGAAAAAATGGGGAAATCGTGTTGGTGAACACAAATCAATAGATTACTTTTTTGACTATAACACGAAATGCTGTGACACTGGGTTGCAACACACCAACACTGTGCATAATTTGTTCCCGAAACGTATGTCATGCACAGATAGAAGCCTCTCAGCTTAAAGATACAAAAATAAAAGAACAGAGCATAAAGTAGAATTTATTTATCTAAAGACAGTTCCAATTTATATTATGCCACCCTTACACAATTTGAGTATTTGCTTGCTTAAGAAGGGGAAGTTGTGATGCATCATGTGAAAAATCTAATAACTTGTGGAATAACAAATGTTGTATCTCCATTTTACCCATATAGGGCTCTTGCTCTTCTCTTCAGCTGAAGATGATAGTCAAAGTGCAATACCGAAACCAAAAGAAGTACATCAAAATTCCAGAAGCTTGTTTTGGCATCTTCATCACTGAAGGCAAGTATATGAACTGCATATGAATCAGAATACCTTTATTAGTCCCACAGAGGGGAATTTTGCGATCCACCCTCATTAACCTACTGTTACATTAGATGGACATGATGCACTATTGAGGCAGTTCCCCCCCCCCTGTGTGTGTGTGTGTGTGTGTGTGGTTTAAGCTTATATTTGGTCTTCAATCCTTTTAGTAAAAGAGAGGTTTTCCATCCCTGTGGACAACATCTTATCAGTGGAGGATGACACTGGCACAGAAGTGGACGACTACGCATTTCCAGATCTACTGACTACCAGTGGAATATGCTTTGTCATCAAAGATGAACTGAATGACAGTGGTGGTGAGTGACGACAATAGACCCTTTTCTCAGCAGCTATTTTGACGTCATAGCAGGGTAAACACAGGTGTAATAGATCAAATGAATTATGGCCCCGATCTATTTAGTGTGTCACAGCCAATCCAGTGAGACAGCATATTATCAGGGCCCTGGCCTGCCTACATCCTAAATTACATCTCTGTTTACGCAGAATGTCAACATGGCTGCTGAGAAAAGGGTCTATTTTACATTTCTCAATTGTATTGTATGCTGATTATCCCCATGCAAGTGTCAAGCACACCACACATTTCATTGCTATAAACAATACTATCTTAAAAGGTAAAGTATTGTTTATAGGAATCAAATGTGTGGTGTGATTGACACGTGCATGGGTAAAGGCATACTCAACTGATTTAGTGAAAATACATAATTTTGTACTTACTTGGGAGTCTTGTTGAAAGCCTTGTTGTTAAGCTTTTGCTAGACTAAAAACCACCATTGCTGTCTAAGTATTGGTCCCAAGTAGAGTGCGCTCTTGTGGACAACGACTTTGGGACTCATACTTGCGATGGAGGTTTTCAGTGGGTTTGTTTTCTTTTTGAGAACACTTCACCAGTAGATTACATAAAGACATGACAAAGGAAGACCATATAATTTCAATATTCATATTTAATATCTCTTGTGTGATGACATTATTTTCCAGAGCCATCCTCATCCTCCGCTTCAGGCACAGATACTCTTTCAGTCACTTCGAAAAGCAGCAGTGAGAACGATTTCTACAGTGGCACTCTGAAACGCTTCAGAAAAGAGGAGGAGGCTTTGCAGGGACCACAAGCCAAAAATGTGAGTACATTTTAGTGACGTCTGTCCATCCGTGTGTCTGTACCAGTAGATTGCTCATAAACCTATACTGCTTACTTAACGGGTGTCATTTTTGTTGTGTTTTGTTTTAAGCTGATAAAACAGGTTCTGCTGACCAAACCAGGAGGAAGTGATGTGCTGAAGGAGTATGAGGAAAAAGGAACAATTAGTCCTGCCACAAGAAAAGTGATGGTGAACATTCTAGTTGCAGACATGGTGCAGAGTGAGGGGTAAGATTCAAATTTGTTATAGCTTTGCATGAAAGTGTCATGTATGTATAGGTTAAGTGTGGATGAAGTTGGTGCAATTGTATTTCTACATAAATTGAGTTCATTAAGTTTATATGTTCTAAAACGAAGTCTCAGTGGCGTTTTTTTTTTTCAGAGGAAAATACTCTGAGCATGCGCAGTGTAGTTTTTACAGTCACCGTAGACAGTGAGAGGGAGGGGCATGATCGGGTTTTGTCCCACATGGCTCAAAACGGCTCAATAGGCACACACTGTAGACACTAATTAGAAGAACACAGACTAAAACAGCAATGTACAGACGAATCATGATTAAACATGATCTTAAAATATATTTTATTTTTTGTAATCATTATTTTTAATACTTTCTGCTGACACTAGGTGGGGGTGTCCCTAATGACCAGTCGCCACTGCTCTTAGACTTAAATGAATGAAATGTTGAAAATGACTTTTTGCTCTACAGGAGAATCCCTCAGCGACTGACCAAAGAGAAGTATGCACTGGGGATTGTTACCCTGTTTCCCTCGCTCCAAGATCCACATGGGAAGACAGGATATGTGAGTTATTCTTGATTATGATCAAAGTAGACTGTTTTAGATGGCTTACATGGTTCCTTGAATGCTGTGGGATTTATACTGTAGGGTAGTTTAATTAATTTGGGCGGCTGTGGCTCAGGAGGTAGAGCGGATAGTCCAATGACTGCGAGGTTGGTGGTTCAAATCCCGGCTCCTCCTGTCCACATGTCAAAGTGTCCTTAGGCAAGTGTAAGACACAGAACCCCGATTTGCTCCCAATGAGCAGGCCTGCACCTTGCATGGCAGCTGCCGCCATTGGTTATGTGAATGTTTGTGTCAATGGGTGAATTGTCAATTTTATCCAAAGCGCTATATACAGTAAGTGCAGTCCATGTACCATTCCTCTTATTTCCTTTTTGGTCAGGAGCATTTTTATGACGGGCAGAAAGGCGGTGGGTTTCTAGCGTGGCGACTGAAGTCCGTTCAGAGAGCAACACGACTTCCTGTGAGGTCCAAGGATTCCAGAATAGAAGAGAATGGAGGCCCCATGCTAAGGAGAGAGATAGGCCACTGTGATGATCATCCAGATGAGCAGAGATTTCAAGAGCTCATATCTGTGAGCAGGCGTGATCTGGCACGGCAGGCAACAAACAACCTTTTTGGACCTCCACTGCCATAGAGGGTTATTTTTTATTTTTGTACATATACATTTTTGCTGTTGAACAATATTGTGAGAATTTGTCAGTCTTAAGAGACATGGAAAGTTTATTTGTTGAGCATCTTCATGCCTTTAATGTTAAGCAGGATAGTCTTTCAGTCATCAAACCTGATGCACTGCAATTTCATAAGCCTTTTGATCTGCAAATGTCTGCAAGTGCCAATGACACCCTTTTTTATATTGTCTTAGACATATTGTCATATTTTTATTTATCCCTCCACCCCATGGGTGTGTGAGGTCCAAAAAGGTTGTTTGTTGCCTGGCACGGCAGGCAACAAACAACCTTTTTGGACCTCCACTGCCATAGAGGGTTATTTTTTATTTGTTGAATTGCATATTGTGAGAATTTGTGCATTGGGAGAATTTGTCAGTCTTAAGAGACATGCCACCATTCAAATAAAGCACTTGTCATATATGTTATCTGGAATGATTTATTGGTCATTGTAACTTTTAACACCAGTTTGTTGTACATCATAATACCAATACACTACATTGACACTAGATTAGTGTTCATTTTGAACTCCCAGAGGGTTGAGGCTAATGCAAAATGCAACACCAGTATAATGTGCATTCAACACTAGTTCAGTGTACATTTCTAACTCTTAAAGGTGTTAGATGGGAGAAGATGTATCACTACTGTAGTGTTACTCTACACCGGGACAGTGTTAAATTGCAACACTATTAGTGTACATGTTTAACTCTAAAAGGTGTTAGATGGGAGAAGATGTATCACTACTGTAGTCTTACTCTACACCAGAACAGTGTTAAATTGAAGATGCAGCCAACACTGTTAGTGTTGTTATCGGTGTTGGTGTTCAGTGTTGGTGTTCACATCTTACACTCTTAGTGTTGGTATAGTAACACTGTGATAGTGTTATATTGTCAACACTTTGGAAAGTGTTAATTTAACACTTTGCTGGTGGTTTCAATATAAACTCTTTTATAGTGTTAAAATTAACTACATGGGTGTTGAATTTTTGATTTCAAATTTGCTGTGCATAATCTTCAGTGTGGTTAGCTATGAATCTTCCAAAACTTCCAAACACCTTGTCCTGGACATAGTTTCTACAGCATAAACTGTGCAACAGTACAGTAGGCCCACACAAACTGCAAAACACCGGGGCTTTGGGAACACTCAAATTACTTAAAATGATTTAATTCCCATTTAACCTGTTAAGGGGCTTTTTTCCCCCGTTTTTTTTCTCACAAAACTGTGTCTCAGGGCTTCTTAAAATGTAATAAACTATTCATGTGTCCTACTCAGAGGAAATGCAGCTAACTGATGATATGAACCATGTTTACCGAAACAAAACACAAGTCTCACAAGAAGCGTCTAAATGAGCCCTGAGCGAAAAAATGCTAACGCACTCTAGGTATAAATCAATCGATATACTTATCGGATATGCACAAACAAGCTTATGCTAACAAGGTGAGATTCCACAGATTCTAGAAATATAAGTATCATCACTGAGCGATCAGAACTCGCGACAGGGGAAGCAAATACAGACATCACACGACGTAGCTTTAGGTAGCAAAACACGGAGATATGCTCACCTTTTGCAGAATAATTAATTAATCCATAGGTTAATCCAATATGTCTGTCACTTTGAAAAAATTATTGATGATCCATAATTCCATTTTTATGTCAAAAACTGAGTTTTCATTAGCTGCTAATGGTAGCTTCCAGAGTGTATGAAAGCTTAAAAAGCCCTGGAGCGAGTAGTCTACGCCCAGCTGCAGTCTTTTTTAACCATGCATGGAATCCATGAAAAGTTTCAGTCTGGCTTCAAACCCATGCACAGCACTGAAACAGCCCTTTTAAGAGTCTTTAATGATCTGCTCCTAGCCGCCGACTCAGGTAGCTCCGCTGTCCTGGTGCTGTTAGACCTGACAGCTGCCTTTGACACTGTGGACCATAGCATCCTGTTGTCACGGCTTGAACAGTCCGCTGGCATCACAGGCTCTGCCCTTACATGGTTCAGGTCCTACCTGACAGACCGTAGCTTCTCGGTACAGCTAGGTGCCTTCTCCTCTGCCAAAGCCCCTCTTACCTGTGGGGTTCCCCAAGGCTCGATTCTGGGCCCCATCCTTTTTCTACTGTACATACTGCCCCTAGGTTCAATTCTCACAAAACATAATATTCCCTTCCACTGCTACGCCGACGATGTACAGATATACAGTATCTGCCTCTAAAAGCAAATGTCAAACACTCACTACAGCAGTTGATGGACTGCTTAACAGAGATAAAATCCTGGCTGAGCAAAAACTTTCTCAACCTCAACGAGAGCAAGACTGAGGTCATCTTTTTTGGACCCCAACCTCCAGCCTCTCCGGTTGATATTCTGGGCTCTCTCAAAAAAAACATCCTCCCCTCGGTCATGAACCTTGGAGTGACCTTCACTAGCACTTTTAAA